TCCAACTTATCAAGCACTTCAACTCTTCACCTGGGGCCTTTTGCCAGAAAAGCTCTTCCCCCAGGCATTATGATGGCCAGGTATTATCTCAGGTCATTCCAATTCTTACTTCATATTCCTTTTTCAGAGATGCCCACTCTTACCACCCTATCTTAAAGTGCCCTCCTGGCACTCCCTCTTACCACCCTATCTTAGTGCCCTCCTGGCACTCCCAATCTATTTGCCCTGGTCCTGTTTTTGTCACAGCACCTATCCCCACTTGCTATTTATTTTCCCCCTCCATCCTAGCAAAGTATAAATGATATGAGACCGGGAACTCTGCTCACTCTTCCATCCCCAGTGCATGGCAGATAATGACTGCTCAATGCATTTCAGCTGCACGAGGAGCTATTTTGTTGCTGTGCTCTTCTTATTCCTCCTCTCTTCCCTTCTTTATACCATGTGATATGCTATTCCTACCAAACAATGCTATCAAAATGGGAGCCTATCGATGAAACCACACGACAGGAAAAGACGCTGGTACAGTAAAAGGAATACACTGTATCTGAAAGAGCGCAAAGAATTTGAGAAGCTGTGTTATATGAATCAGGAGGCATGGAGAATGGAGGCAGGCTCAGGAACAAGCCGTGATTAGCGGATGCCATAACTTTACCTGCTGAAAGCCAAGAAACCTCGAAGCACTTACTGATCAAGATCAAAGACTAGTCTGGATTACACTCAACGTAGAGAACACAAAAATCCTCACAACTGGACCAACAGACAACACCAGGAAGAGGTACAATGATTCAAGTGCTCAAAGATTTCCTTTTACTTAAACCCACAACATACACGTTAGTGGCGGGCAAGAAATCACTATGAAGACTAAGGTGCACCTGACCCAAGCCATGCCTGCTAGTTTCAACTGCCTCAGATGCATGTGGAAGCAGACTAAGGGTGTCAGAACGAACGGATACATTTAATTTATGCTTTGCCAAGGAACACTGTAAGTACATGGACTTCCAGAAGGGCAAAGGTCTGGAAGGAAGTACAACCACAAGCTCCTCATAAGCAAGAATGTGGAGACTGTCTCACACACTTTGGGTATGTTCTGATCAGGAGGGACCAGTCTCTATAAAAAGACATCATAGTTGAGTAATTCCAGGACACTGAGATTGGGGACAAATGGGCTGCAGCTAAGAACGCAACCTAATTTGGGGGAGGAAGTTAGGTGTCCCCAGCACTCGGAGCCAAGAAACACTGGGTCACACTACAGTACCTTTACCTGTGCAATAGGGACCGCACACAAGGTCACACCCAATCCGACGGCCACCGTTTTGTGCCAAGGTCGAATCAGCTCCGAGAAACAGCGCTTCTTCAAATTGGCCGCAACAGGCACGCGCTGTCTGTACCTGGAAACAAAAACCCAACTTAATCCAACTTAACCCAACCCTCCGTCCCTGGGCGCGGGGCTTCAAGCCGCGGAGAAGGGAGCGGGAGCCCGGACCTCCAGGAGGGGGAGGGGAAGGGGCGTGGGTGTCGCCTCCGGGGATTCTTCCTTCATCAACTACCACCTGAGGAAGTTGACGCCGGTCTCAAGGCCGCCCAACGACCGTTTCCGCAGGCACCAACGGCCCAAGGCTTCCGGGGTCGGTCGGGGGCGCGAGTCCCGGACCCACCTGGGCCTTCAGGGCCTTGGCTCCCCCGCCGCGTCCCCTCCCTTCCCCAGCTCTCCCCGGGCGCCTCAGAGCCCGGGCGTGGGTGACACGCTTAGGAGGCGGAGCCCCTGAAAACTGTAGTGGGAAATGAACCCTTCGGCCCGACCAAGGAGGGGCGGGCGCGGGGACGCCGGACTCCCCCGGGAGGCGGGGCGCCGCGGCCCCGGTTGCAGCGCCTCCTGCGCCGCTCCCCTCTGCCCGCGAGCGTCTCAACGCCCGCCGCCGTACCTGAGGAAGGAGGCGACGCTCCGGGACAGCCAACTCCTCAGAGCCGCCATCCCGACCCGGGCAAGCGCCGGACGCCGGCGCCGGAAGTGACGTTACAGGCGAGGCGGGGGCGGGGCACAGCTTCCTCCAGCGGAGGGGCTCTGGCCCGGGGACCACGTTCCCAAGGAAGCCATCGGGATTGGTCAGACGGGGCAAGTGGGGGCGGGGCCCAAAATAACGGCCGTAACTGCCGCGCCGGCGCCCAACCGCCGGACCCGAGCCCGGACAGCTGCGCGGGGCGGGGAGATAGTGGGGGCGGGGGAGGGACGTGCTCGTGCGTGAGGCCGGGGCGCTGTCACTTCAGCACCAGGAAGTAGGTGGTCCAGCCTGCTAGCAGCAGCGCCCCGATGAGCACAGTGTAGCTGAGCAGCACGAAGGCCAGCAGCTCCCGCAGCAGCTGCAGCACGTGGACGGCTGGCGAGGTCGGCATGGCCTGCGGTGGGACGAAAACCTGCGGGGCAGGGTGTCAAGAGCCCCTGAGCACGGGATGAGGGGGTCCCCTCCCACAAAGACTAGGTCCTGACCCTCCGAATCCAATCGTGGGCGAACCACGGAAGTGTAAGGAAGCCCCAACCCAGAGACTGCTTTTCTCCTGAACAGCAACCTTTGCATTTGCACTACAGAATTCTGACTCTATAATAAAGTGCCCCTCATGCTTCCGTGCCTTATCAGCTCGGGGGCTGGGCAGGCCACACCACCCCAGCCCATGCATTAGTCCCTGCCCCTCTCCCCACCACCGCCTCCTGCATTTTTAATGCTGTGAGTGCTGCTAATGGGCGGGCTGGCTCCAGGCTAGAAGGAAACATTCCCATCCTGTACACGCTGCAGCCCCCACTGTCAGCAGGGCAGGGAGGATGAAGAGGAGAGAACTGCCTGGGCAGGGGGTGGCAGCAGCCCTCACTGCAGCCCCTCTGCGAGTTCCCCGGCACCACTGGTTAATGCAGTTTAAGGATCTGTGTGTGGTGGGCCTTACCTTGTGCTGTGGAGCCCCTAGGACTGCTGGGGTGTCCAGCGGTGGGCTTCCATTTGAAAGCCTCTCCCTACCACACTCCTCTGTGCTTGTTCCAGCCAGAGTCCCCAGGACAGGTTCAGATGATGACAAACAAAGACGAGCTCTGACCCCCACTGCTGCCCTGTCCCAGCAGCTCCCCTTGGTGACCCCCACTGCTGCCCTGCCCCAACAGGTCCCCTTGGTAACCCCCCACTGCTGACTTGCCACCACAGCTCCCCTTGGTGACCCCTCCCCCCCAACTGCTCCCAGCAGCTCCCCTTGGTGACAGCCACTAGTTCACTCACTCAGCACAGCGGCCAGCCCTCCTCTGCTGCTGTAGCTCCTTGGCTCCGCTCTGCTGTCCGAAGGCAGGCTGTGCACGCTCCAGAGCGCGGGGCAAGGCTGTGAGGTCTTCAGGCAGCAGCCGCATTCGGCAATGACAACCTCCGTGTGCTCCCTGAGCACTTAGGAAGCTGTGAGCAGGCGCTCCCAGACCAGGCGGGGCACCGGCAGTCCTGCCCGCCCTTGCCCGCCTCTCCACCACAGCCCACAGGCTTGGGCGACTGCCGGCAGAGCACTGACTCAGGTGGGCTGAGAAAGCAGTACACCAGGGGGTATTTCAAGCCTCTTCTTGTCTTGCTTTTCTACACACTGCAGAGGGATTATCACCAGTTCCCTTCCTGACAAACTCACGCTGAGTGCGGCTGCCCCTCCCCTCCTTGGAGCCACCTGGGACTGGGAATCCACACTCATTTAAGGCTGTCCAACTGCAGAAGCAGCAGTGGTCTTACACTTGAGCCCCGGAGTGCTGGCGTCTAACCCACACAAAGAACTTAGCTGGTCGGAGACTCTCGATACAGCTATCTTCCTGATGCACCTACATCTAACTTCAACGACCCTTAGAGGTGGCAGGTGGGACCTGCCCAGACGTAACCCGGGAGGAAAGCACAAACTTTACATGCTGCTTGTGGTTATTTTGATTTTGGGATGGCATCTGGAGGATATTTTTCTGATCATTAAAAAAAAAAAAAGGCAGCATGAACATCAAGCCTTTTATCAATATCATCATCTAGAAACAAATGGCTCCTTAATTCGATCAGGCTTCCTCATTATCAAATCATTGCCTCGGCCTCGGCCTGGCTGAAACCGGAGCAGAGCGTGACCCAGCTGCTGAGGAAGCCTGTTAGGGTAATTGCTCCTCCAGAGAGCCGGCTATCTGCGGGGCTTCCGGGTCCTGCGGTCCCAGGGGTGAGACCAAACAAAGGAGCTCTAGCCTCTGTATCGCTCCTGCTGTACCAAAGCCAACACACAATGAGAGGCCCAGTTCTCTGCCCTGGAAACCTGTGCCCTTTCAATGACCATCCCAAGGCAGGTATAGGTGCCAGCCTTGGCAGCCACCAGTCGGCCACCCAATTGGCGCTATTTTATGTGGAATAACTGAAGCTAAGAAAAATGTGGCTGGAAGTTCAAATGAATTCACTTTGAACTAAGAGGATCTGAGGAATGGTCCATTACTGCTTTTTCCTTAGACAGTTGGCTGACAAGGTATCCTGTGTTTGGGCAGTATGTTGCCTTTAGATTATACTACTGAGGGTCCAAGCGTGTCCCCTCAAATACAGGTTGAGGACCTAACCCTCAGTACCTGCAAACGTGACCTTATTTGGAAATAGGGTCTTGGCAAATGTAAGTTGAGGCACAGGGTCTTGGCAGATAAATAACTAAGATATGGGTTGAGTTTTAGGGAAGATGCTGGGTTACAAAGGTTTCCCCCCACCCCCCGCCCCCAACCACTGGTGTCCTCCTTGTAAGACCCAGGGTGATCGCATAGACAAACTCAGGACGTGGGTTGGTGGTGGAGAGATTGAAGCGAGACATGTATAACCCAGGGGATTCCACGGATTGTCAGCCACTAGGAGATAGGAGAGAAGCATGGGGCAGCCTAGTCCTCAGAGCCATCGATAGGAACCCACCCTCTCAACACCTTGGTTTCAGGCTTCAGGCCTCCAAAGAGCTCTTCTCGCGCAACAGGCTCCTACCTGAAAGAGCTCTCGTGGGACAGCCGGATGCTCCATGATAGGCTGGCGGTTTGAACCCAGCAGCTGCTCTGGGGGGAGAAAAGCCATAGTAATCTGGCAAAGATGACAGCCTAGGAAACACGGGGCAGTCCTGGCTTGGCCTGCAGGTTGCTGTGAGTCCGAACACACTGAATGGCACACAGCAGCAGCTGCCTTCAAAACCCTTGAGAATCAATTTTATTCTGGACCGATCTCCCATCTGTGGTGATTTATTACGGCCACCCCAGGAAATGAAGTCCCTGGCTGAATTCTCCCCAGCGTCCCTCACGAGCTAAAGACGTCGGTGAGCATGGCTCCCCTATTTCTCTGCCTTGCCATGGCTCTCACTGCCTCTCTGGTGTGGCCAAACCATCCGCTGCAGTTTGGGTGAAAGTCGACCGAGCAAATTCGCTTCTCATCCAACCATCCATACACATCTTGTTCCCCTTTTGGTGCTTTTATTAAAAAGGCTTTTCTTCTTGAATTCAACTCTGGCAAATGCACATGTGCCCTCTGCTCACAGGATAATCTACAAAGCGCCGTCAACCTGAAGGTCAGCGCCAGGGAGGGCAGAGTGGGGGTGAACGTGCTGGCAGACACTGAGCTCTCCAGGAGGGAAATGTGCGTTTGGAAAACTCCACTGATGGTGTAGAGCAGGGGACCTCAAACTACGGCCCGCGGGCCACATGCGGCCCGCCAAGGACATTTATCCAGCCCGCTGGGTGTTTTTGCCCAGTTTGGGTTTTTTACTTCAAAATAAGATGTGTGCAGTGTGCATAGGAATTTGTTCATAGTTTTTTTTTTAAACAGTGAACTGGTCCCGTTTAAAAGGTTTGAGGGTTCCTGGTATAAAGGTCACATATGGGCCTGTTGAGCGCTGCAGTTGGAAACCCCCAGCGGCTATGGACGAAGGATGAGGCTTTTGATCCCCGTTCATCTCTATAACCCACAGGGGCATATCGACCCTGGCCTATAGTGAGGGCTACAGGGTCCCCCTAGATTGAGATCAACTCAATACCAGTGGGTTTTGGTCTGTTTCCCCCTTTTACTCACTCTTGCTTTCACCCCACAAAACCTACAGTCCAGATGCTAAGTTCTGTGGGCTAGCGTCCAAAACTGTACAGCACTGCACTGCACAAAGCGGGGTCTCGGGGGACTGTGGGCGTGGAACTCTCTACCCCGTTAGACAAAAGGCCAGACGCGATGTAAACCATCTGCCTTCTCCAAGAGCCAACGCACATTCCCATACCCACCCTCTGCACGAGACGATCCCGCTGTTCAGTGCGCCCACACAATGGCGTGTCGTGTGTAATCACCCACCTCTCTCTCTCTCTCTCTGTCTCTGCAGGCCGGCTGGCTTCCAATGTACAGCTGAATGTGTCTTTTCAGGAGCTGACCTCACTGTGCTCGGAGCAAGGGAGTACAGAGGCACGAGTGAATGCAGACACATGAGACTACAACCAGGTGTCTGTTCCCAGGACAAAAAAGCCCAGCCGAGGAGACCTGACCAGACTTGAATGGAATCCCAGGAGCCCCAGCCAGTGAGGGGCGAAGCGGGACGCGTGCTCTCGGCAGCTGGGGATGACAACAGCCAGGTCTGCCAGGCATAAGCCAATCTCCCTGGGACAGCAAGTACCAGAGAGAGGACTTTTAGCACGAGAGTGGCTTTTCTTTAAGACATTTGCACCTATTGAAAGGCAACACTGAACTAATTCCATGGGAAACAAAGCTTTTAAGTATCACCTGTCCCACTCTCAGCTTCATTCTCAGGCTCAAATGTGACACCGTCAAGCCAATGCCAACCGCTGGTGACTTCGTGCATTACCAAGCAGGGTTGCCCCAACGTGGCCTTTTCTCTGTTTTGGCTGTAATCTTTATGGACTGCCAGGCCTTCCTGCTGACTGCCACCATTTTCAAGTCAGTACCCAAACCCTGGAGCCCTGGGAACACGGTGGTTACCTGGGGAGCGTCAATCTACAAGGTCAGCAGTATAAAGCCACCGGCCCCTCCTCAGGAGAGAGGCGCCCTACTACCAGTCCAGAGTTAGTCTTGAAAAACGTACAGGGGCAGTTCTACCCTGGTCCTACCTATAGGGTCGCCAGGTCTCAGGATCAACTCGATTGGCAGTGAGTTCGGTGTTTTGGTTTGGACCCAAACCCCAAACCCACTGCCACCTCGTCAATTCCAGCCGTAGCAATTCTACACAAGGCGTCCGAGACAAAAACATTTCATCTTTCTGTCCAGTGGCAGCTGGTGGGTTTGACCAAACAACCTATGGTTAGCAGCCCAATTCCTAACCCACAGTGCCACCAGGGCACCTTTTGAACTCAGTAGTTGAGTGCAAATGGCTTGTGTTACCCAGAGACTTTCTGACGCTAATGAGATTTCTCTTTTATCCACATAATGCACCTATCAGAAATCCAGTGTACACTTGGAGGTCATTACAAGGTTAGAGATTATTCTCCCTAAGGGTTATCAGCCATCTAGAGCAATCAGACTGTATAGTCTGTCCCCACCCTAAGTAGGGCCCACTCCCTTCTGGTAAAGATAGTCGATTGTTTCCCTGAAGGAAAGCCCAGGGAGGTCAAGCCCACTCAAGGGTGACCAAGGTTAGGCTGCCATATATTGATGGAGTCAAGGGTCTGCCCACCTTGTCACATGTGCACCCCTAGTCCCTCCCCTTCCTATTACGTGTGACACCCCTAGCTCATCCCCTTCCTGTGACTCGTATGCCTATTGTACACCCCCTTCCTGTGATTTGTGTGGTTTACCTGTAATCACGCCCCTAAGTATATCCCACTCTCTGCCCAGACCTGTTCCGGAGATGAGCATGCTACCATAAAATGTGTCTGACTCCTTTATTTCACTCTCTCTCCTACTCTCTCTGACTTTACTATGACCCTTATCTAACTGTACAATTGCGCCTACCAAACCCGTGATTATTGGTTAGGGGCTGGAACCCCTCACAAACCCTCAGCAGTTTGTGGCATCGGCCATTAATACCAAGTGCACTGATCATGGAGCCCTGGTGGCCCCATGGTGAGACCCCCAGCTGCTGACAGGTAAGCAGGTGGCTTGAACCTACCGGCCGCTCTGCAGGTAGGCGTGGGAGAGGAAGGCCTCGCTGACCTGGGTGGACACAGTGGCTGCAACAATGGGCGCAGGACGGGCAGGGTTTTGTTCTGTTGTGCACACGGTCACCATGGGTCGGAATGCACCGATGCCACCTAACAAACTGGAAGACAGATGTTTCTGTGAAGACGGCAGAATCCCACTGGCCTCGCCCAAGACTGACTCAGTGACGCTACAGGGTGGGGTAGCACGCCCCCAGGGCTGTCTTCCTCTGGGATTTACACCACCTCATCTTTCTCCCACAGAGTGGCCAGCGTGTACAGACAGCCTTCTGGTTAGGGTCACACGCTTTAACCACTGCAGCCCGAGCTCCTTCTGCCAAGATTTCAGCCTTGGCAACCCTAGGGGCAGTGCCGCTCTGTCCCACGGGGTCGCTGGGCACCGCAGCGCACTCAGTGATGATGGGCTTGGCTTGCACCTTGGTTTCAATATCACACACCCTTAGTAGTTATGAAGTCACCCGCTGCACCTTCCCAGGCAGATCACTTTGTTTTTATTAAAAGACTCTTCCCCCTCCCCACCCCTAATCCAACTCTTGCTTTCTAAAAAGCAAAAGGGACCAAGTGGCTGTGCAGTTTGGATGAAACTCAGCCTGGAGATACTGGAGATATGAAGTGCAATGTTTCCAAATCTTCACCTGGGGGACACATCGGCTCCAACCCCCTGCCCGACACCTGTTGCTGCTGTGAGCACCACGTCCCCTCTAGAAACAGAATGCCCTCTATTGGGGGTGAGACAGTTCACTGCTTCCCTAGTTTAAGAACCAGCCCAGATTGTGTGGCTGCCGGGACCATCTAGCCGGCCCAGTGAAGGTAATTCCAGAGACTTCTAATGAGCGTCTTGAGTCCCGCAAATTCACACTGGTGTCTCTGCTACCCGACTCCACTCTCTTCTCCCCTCCTTTCTCCAAGAACGCGGGAAGACAGAGGAGCAGCGGTCGGAGGAACTGCAGCAGAATTCAAGCAGCTGGCCCTGGCGTCGACCCCCGGCGCTGTTCTCCCGTGGGGCTCCACCTCCTTTCGGCCGCTTCTTCCAAGGGGAGCGTAGGCGTCCGGCAGCGCACTGGCGAAGTTCGCTGAGAACGCGCTAGACCGGCTTTTCCAGGAGAGACTCGATCCAGCTGGCTCCGTTCATGAGCTTCGTGGTGGCGACGACGTACTCGGTGCCGCCGTCTTCCAGCTGCGAGAGAAACCGCAGCGCGGCAATTTCCGCGAAGGTCACGCCCCCCAGGAAGAAGACCAGCGTGACGCGGTTTTCCCCGGGCTGACCTGGAACGGAAACATTCGGAATCACCGCTCCTCACCCAAAACAACGTGCGCGCCACACAAGGGTTGGCCAACGGTGCACGCCCCCTCGGCGTGTTGTGCGCGCCCGCGATGCGTATGTTATCTATGTGGGCGCGTTGTATGTGAAAAGCGTGATCAGGACCACGTGTTGTTTGGAAGGAAGGAAGGAAGGAAGGGTCTCGGCCCTCTGACTTTGTCTAACTGCGGCCCCCCTGAGGGAACACCACCACTTTCATGCCCTTAACGTCCACAGGCAGGGGTAAAAGCCAAGCAGTGACTGGCACCTAAGGGCTCTACAAATGTATCGCACAGCAGCCGCAGGGGCTCGCAGACCCCTGCTGGGACCTACGTTTCTTCTGCAGGCCGGTGGGCAGGGGCTGCCGCTCCTCGAAGTGGGGCCCGGGGAGGATGCGCAGCACCTCCTCGATGCTCCGCCAGCCGGGTCGGGAGAGCAGCTGGGCCAGGCGCACGCTGAGCGGGGCGTAGCCGCTGTACACGTAGGATATGTCCGTGGGGTTCTGTGTGCACAACAGAAGGGTCACTCCCTGGGGCCAGCTTTGGGGTGCTCCAAGATGATCTCGTTTGACTGTGACAGGAACCCAAACCAAGCCGCCCCTCCCCCCACACCCTGCCCTCCAATCTCCCCAAGCCAGGC